TTCAGCTCAGCTGTCAGTTTATGGGGCTGAAGTTCCAGCTTTGGAAGCCGGCAACCAAAATTCAAATGAGCCAGAAGGACTCTCTCTGGCATAATTGTTCTGGAACTGCAAAGGCTTAGCTCTTTCCAAAAGGAAAAAAAAGAAAAAAAGAAAAGAAAAGAGGAGAGGATGTGGGAAACGGAAGAATTAGTAAGCCATGAGAGTGTTGTCCAATGAGATAATATACTTCCATACTGACAAGGGCTCTTTTGTCTTTTGTGGGCTCGCCTCCAAATTCCAGATGTATATCTACAGATAAAATATTCAAAACTAATCTAGGGTTTAATGTGTTGGACTTGGAAGCACAAGTCCTTTGCTGTCACTTGATGGGTGCATGTGGGTTCTAACTCCCATTCATTCATTGAAATTGTGTGGCACTGTGGGTTAAACTACAGAGCTTAGGACTTGCCAATCAGGTCAGCGGTTTGAATCCCCGCAACGGGGTGAGCTCCCGTTGCTCGGTCCCTGCTCCTGCCAACCTAGCAGTTTGAAAGCACGTCAAAGTGCAAGTAGATAAATAGGTACCGCTCCGGCGGGAAGGTAAACGGCGTTTCCATGCGCTGCTCTGGTTCGCCAGAAGCGGCTTAGTCATGCTGGCCACATGACCTGGAAGCTGTACGCCGGCTCCTTTGGCCAATAAAGTGAGATGAGCGCCGCAACCCCAGAGTCGGCCACGACTGGACCTAATGGTCAGGGGTCCCTATACATTTACCTTTAGGGTGTGTTCAGGGAAGGTTGAGAAGTGTAGTCATGCAGAGTAGTATACTGAACTGCGAAGTGTAGAGGACACAGGAGGGGAAGTACAGTTGCCACCTTGACGTCCTTTGAATAATTTCCATCTGCTCGGATAATTCCTTCTGCTACTTTTTGTTACAGTGAGGATTTTTAAATTTGTAGTTATACTTGTCTATTTTCAGCACTGTGAGTTGCGATTTGACAAGTCTGCTCCCCGTTCTTTAGTACAAGTCTGGATTAAAGACTTTAAAAAACCTAAGAAAGGAGAGCAAGACTTGTCAAATCACAACCCACAGGGCTGAAAATACACAAGTATAAACCATATAACTACAAATTCCAGCGGAGGACCATATTCTGTAAAGTAGGAGACATTGCCATCTTCCCCCCAGTTTAACTGTCACAGGATCCCTCCAACTGTGTTGGAAATCATTTTGGTGAGTTTTTGTGATTCTTTATATTTAGATGTGCATCAGACTGGACAGGGTATATCCACTGAAATTAATGGACCTAACTGTTCATTAATTTCAGTGGCTTTACTCTGAGTAAATCTTTGTTGACTATTGCTCAGGACTGTCATCTGGGAGCCCCTGAAACAGAGGACCTTAAAATTGGTCACACAGTCCCCCTAATGGTAGAGCTGGGCCCAGTAGTGGACTTACATTTGGGGGGCCCTGAAGCTTGTACTGTAATTGGGGGCCCTTTCTCAACCAACAACAAGGTCTGCGTAACCGCTACAATTTTCTTCAATGAGTTTGTTCCACGACAGATCGCCACACCTTTACAACATTGGTGTTCCTAACTCTCAAACATTGGGTTTGTTGAAATATATACAGTGGACGCTCGGGTTGCGAACGTGATCTGTGCGGGAAGCACGTTCACAACCCGCAGCGTTGGCAACCCGCAGCGCTGTGTCTTCGCACACGCGGGTTGTGATTAGGCGCTTCTGCGCATGTGCAAAGTACAATTTGGTGCTTCTGCACATGCGCAAAGCGCAATTTAGCGCTTCTGCGCATGCACAAGTGCCGAAACCTGGAAGTAACTCGTTCCAGTACTTCCGGGTTTGGTGCAGTGCGCAACCTGAAATCGTGCAACCTGAAGCGTCTGTAACCCGAGGTATGACTGTACAACAAAACTAATCAATTTGAGTCGCATGACTCAAATCAGGTCTACTAGACAACAATGTGATCCAAAGTCACTTCTGGGGCCCCTCTGGAATTAGAGGCCCTGAAGCTTAAGCTTCATTCATTTCATAGTAGATCTGCCCCTGACTACTACAAAGTATAAATTGGCCTTTTGTAGCTTTCTCTAAGTGGGTCCTGCTACGCAACAGATTCTGTGTGCAGAGTGAGCGTTTCTTGCCATGCTCTTACAATGTTGCACGATATGGGGTGGGGATCAAAGATCCAAAAATTGCCCTGGGAGCTGCTTCCACAAAGGGCACCTTTGTAGGACACCCTAGGCTGGATTTGGAGAGGTTGCAATTGGCTCTCTTTTGTTATTTGGCTTGGCAGATAAAACACAAGCCTGACAGGTTAATTCTTCCAGAGAAGCAATGGAAATACGGCCCTGCCAGGAGAGCTCGGCTGTGTTAATTGTGCTGCAGAGGCATTCGCCACTCCGGCTCCTCGTTCTCAGGGCTGCCTATCGCAGCATTTTCAGCCCAGCCAGCTGATCTTGGGGGAAATTAAGCTGCAATAAGATTCCAAAGACATTTGAGTCTAGACGGCGATATTGATCAGGGAACAAGCTGCAGGATGGAAAGGAAAGTGGCCTCAACGTATACAAGTGAAGCTACTCAATATGAATGTGACCTTTTGCAAATGGAAATGTGCTAGTTAAAAGCATCGTGCGCCTGTCCCCGAAACATATAGGGATGGGTTGTTTTGGGGTGGGGCTCACGGCGTCATCAAGACCCACACAGCTGCAGAATTCTCCTTCCAAGGAGAAAGTGTTCTGCTGAAACTCCTGCTTGTCTACTTCTTCCTAGGCTCTCACTTGGCCTAGGGCAATATCTTCTCCCTATTAGTGGGGATTTGAGTGGTGGGAAAGTTATCTGTGATTCCTTCATTGCAGGGAGTTGGGCTAGAAGACAGGGGCGAAGGAAGGTGTCGTGACACCCGGGGCGGGCATCGCTACGTAGGGCGCATGTGTGGCATCGCTACGTATGACACATGCACCATACGTAGCGATGCCGCACATGTGCTGTACTTAGCGGTTTCCGGCGCCACTCCAGCACCGTATGGATGGTGCCAGAATCCCTCCATCACCTCTACAGCCACGGACGGAGGATCCTCTGTTTGCAGCTGTAGCGGTGACAGAGGGATCCCAGCACCGTCCGTATGGCGCTGGAGCGGCAGCCCCGGCAAACTGCTATATAGCGCATGTGCGGCGTCACTATGTACAGCGCATGCGTGCGACGCTGCACATGCGCTGTACTTAGCAGTTTGCCACCGGCGCAGGGATCCTCTGCTCGTGGCTGCTCGAGAGCCAATGTGGTGTAGTGGTTAAGAGTGGTAGACTTGTAATCTGCTGAACAGGGTTGGATTCCCCGCTCCTCCACATGCAGCTGCTGGGTGACCTTGGGCTAGTCACACTTCTTTGAAGTCTCTCAGCCCCAGTCACCTCACAGAGTGTTTGTTGTGGGGGAGGAAGGGAAAGGAGATTGTTAGCCGCTTTGAGACTCCTTCGGGTAGTGATAAAGCGGGATGTCAAATCCAAACTCCTCTTCTTCTTCTTCTTCTTCTTCTTCTTCTTCATCCTCCACATGTGGCTGTGGCGGCGCGATGGCTGCTTGCGCAGCCGCGAGCCCCCATGGGGTGACTTCTTGTCACCCCCGCAGACATGGAAACTGGGGCGCACCTCCCCCCCGCCCCCACCGTTGTGACGCCACGGCTAGAAGATCCTCTGCGACCCTTCCAGATCCACATGATTCCAAGAACACGCAAATTGTGAGGTTGAAGCCAGATTTCTAGAGTCAGTTTTGGGTCGGATGCAGACCCCCTTCAGAGTCAGATTGATCTGTTCATAGGTGGGATATAAATCTAACAGCAGCAGTGCTTAAGGAGCTGCTAACCATTACACCACACTGTCTCTCTATTATTTTTTATTGCACCATATTGAAAAAAATAAAATAAAATGGCAAAGTATCAAGTTTCAGAAAGCAATCAAAGTGGATGGGAAGCAAGGAAATGATTGCTGGCAGTCCTATGAGAGATGCTGCCATGCTTTAGGCCACCAGTGAGTTCACGGCAGAGAATTTAGCAGCACATCTCCCCAGGGACTTTGCGGCTAATTTTGCAAAAGATTTGAGAGTTGAAAAGGCTGCCTGGTCAACTTTTCCAGCGTGCCCTGCCCATTCCCTTGCATTCCGGAATGCATGCTCAGATACCAAATGAGAACAGGCCACATCAGAGCCAAACTATGCTGCCCTCTTGGAGCCAGAAAAGACAACTTCCTCCTGCAGCAGCTGATGTTAGCCATCATCACTGACATGCTACATGTCCTGGGGAAAAACTCATCGGATGAAGCTGATTGTGGTGCTTGAGTCTTTGGCCAGTGAGAGTGGGAAAATTTGTGTCATTCTCTTCGTATGTGTCTCCCCGCTTTTCCTTTTTCCTGAGGAACCAGATTGGGAATATATTTATCTAATAATTATAATTATTAGATAAATATATTCATATAATATATATTTATTATTTATTATTTACACCCCACTCATCTGGCTGGAGTGGCTTGCCAGTTCCTGCTCCAGGTGGATCACGTTTGGTCAAAACTCTCCACTATGACCTGTCCATCTTGGGTGGCCCTGCACGGCATAGCTCATAGCTTCTCTGAGTTATTCAAGCCCCTTCACCATGGGACTAAACGACTAAACAACAGCAACAACATCTGGCTGGGTTTCCCCAGCCACTCTGGGCAGCTTCCAACACAATATTAAAATACAATAGTCTGTTAAACATTAAAAGCTTCCCTAAACAGGGCTGCCTTCAAGATTTATATACCACTTCATCAACAAAAATGTCTAAGCTTTTTACACAGAACAATATAAAATAAGACAATGCTGATAAAGCCAAACTTTATTTGACTTTTTAAAACTAAAAAAATCTATCTATCTGTCTATCATCTATCTATACACACAATATACAAAGTTTTGTGTATAGAATCATAGTTGGAAGGTATCCAATGAATCATCTAGTCCAACCCTCTGCAATGCAGAAATATTCGGCTGTCGCATATGGAGATTGAATCTGCAGCCTTGGTGTTATCAGCACCACGCTCTAACCAACTGAGCTATGCCATTGGACTTCACCTCCCCTCAGCCTGAGCCGGCATGTTCAGCGAGGATGGGAGTTGGAGTGCAACAATGTATGGATGGCCACAGGCTATGCACCCCTGCTACGCACCTGGCAGTAAGTTCCAGTGGGGTTCTGAAAAGTTTGACCCTCCACCTTTATTCAAAATGGTGTCCAATTGTGTCAAAACATAGTTGAAAACCTGCTCCTTGATCTGAGGAACTGTCACACCAAATTTGGTTCAATTCAGTGCTCAGTGCTCAGCCTGCCATCTTGATTCAAAATTGTGCCCAGCTGTATCCAAACAAAGTCAAAAACCTGCCCTTTGAGTGAATTCCATTTTTATTGTACTACTTTATTGGCTAACCATGAAAGATTTGGATTGATTGAGTCTACTTTTCAGTAGGTCAGGGGTCACCAACATGGCACCCACGGGTGAAATGGTCCCATGAGGGCTTTTCTTGGTGCTCACAAATCATTTGATCCTCTACATACACTCATTGTTCCCAGACCGCCAGTGATTGTTCCCTTGGTCATGAGATGGTGAGGGTGGTTACCTTGCTCTCCCCTGAAAAGTACATAGAGTTGAAGGGGGAAGTTGGAAGAGTGGCAGTCCTTCCCACTTCCTCTTTCCGCTCCCCATGTGCTTTTCAAGCTTCTGATTAATTCTACTGGGTCTGTTTTATATTCCCTTTCTGTCTCTTTGGGGGCAGGGTAATCAGTGACCAGAGGTGATGGTGCCCATGGTGTTTGCTTGAAAATCCAGTTATGCTCATGGACCTAAAATGAGTGCTGACACCTGCAGGGCCACATTTAGGTTTGATGAGGCCCTAAGCTACTGAAGGTAATGGGGTCCTTTATATGTCCAGCTGTCCTTTGTCAGCAACAAATTGTCGCTGTTTTTGTGTTGAATATATGCTATATGGTAATGTATGGACCTAATAGGTATCTTAAGCCATTTGCAACCAGTCCATGCAGAATGCAGACACCCTATATATAGAAATGAGCAAACCAGTGATATCTTAGGGAGCAGGCTAGCAGGCAGGGCCCATTACTTACATCATAGGAGCCTACACAACACAAAACACTGTTGCTGTGTGTAGGTTTTATTTTATTTGTTTTTTTATCTTATATTTTCAGAATGTACATCCAGTTTTTTCTTCCTTTAAACTTTTTTAGGGCCCCCAAGAGAGTGGGGCCCTAAGCTATAGCTTGTTTAGCTTATAAGTAAATCTGGCACCATACACCTGCAGTAGGTTATGCCTCTCTGATGTCTCAGACAGGCCTGCAGAAAAAGAAGTATCAGGCACACAATTCACCCAGGGCAACTTTTAATCAACGGAAAGATTATTAGTTGATTCATTCTTTACAGTGAAATCCTGTGCACTCAGAAGTAAGATCTGTGGCGATCAGTGGAACATACTCTCAAGTAAGTGCATTTAGGTTGGCAGACTCAATGAACTAAACATTCTAGCCGTAGTTACAAGGGGCCTGGGAAAGCATGAGTTTCCTTTCTGTTCTTTGCACCTCTTCCAGGTTGAAGGGACGCATCCTGGCTACATCCTGAACAAAGATAGCCTCATCAGGTCTTTGTATGCAGAGAGTACATTCCTCTCCTTACAAAATAAATACCTCTTAGGGGCATGATCCCAAGAATGGAATTTGCCCTCTTTGCTGTGATTTCACAGTGGTGGCTTACAGTTATCTTGTGATCAACCAGCGTCTTTTCTCTTTCCATCCCATTTGATTCCAGCTCTAACAAGAACATTTCCTGTTTGCCCACAAAGATTTGACCTTGCACTTGGTGCTATTGAATTCCATTCCATTTCTATGACTCAGGCTCATGAGTTCACCAAATTCCCCCTGCATAGTTACATAATGGGCAGTGACTCTCATCTATTTATTTATTTCTTCACATTACTGCTTTCAATAGGAGGCATGGCTCCCTGCCTGAGTCATCTAAAACTCTTTTTTGCTGGGCTTCTGTGTGTTTGTAGCACAGTTTTGGCTGCATCACGAAGGCTGATCTGCGAGGGGATGGGGGTTTGTGAGTGGGTGGTCCCACTATTAAGATGTTCCCTTGGGACAGCGGCTCTCATCTCACATCTCACTCTACATCTGCCTGAGCTCCCGTCGTTCGGTCCCAGCTCCTGCCCACCTAGCAGTTCGAAAGCACCCTTAAGTGCAAGTAGATAAATAGGTACCGCTTTATAGCGGGAAGGTAAACGGCGTTTCCGTGTGCTGCGCTGGTGCAGGTTCGCCAGAGCAGCTTCATCACGCTGGCCACGTGACCCGGAAGTGTCTTCGGATAGCGCTGGCCCCCAGCCTCTTAAACGAGATGGGTGCGCAACCCCAGAGTCGGTCACGACTTTACCTTTTACGGCTGATTATACTTCTATATCTCCTGCCCGAGGGTAGAAGATTAAAGAGGTGGTGGCCGGGGTGTGAGTCATCCCTGAGAATTTTTCTCGCTCTCCTAAGGCAACGATCCCTTGCGATGTCATCTAGCGGATTCAAGGGACAGCCCATGATATCATGTGCTGTATTCACCACCCTCTGTAGAGACTTTCTGTCCATGGCTGTCAAGCCAGCATACCACACTGTAATACAATATGAAAGGACACTTAGGCCCTTACCTCCCTAGGCTTCGGACAGGGCCACGCCACCTGGAATCCTTTATTGGACTACCTTTCAATATGTGGGGCACGTGATGGCGCTTCCTCCCCTCTTCCAACTACAGAACAATACCAATGGCTAACCGTCAATACTAAGAACAGCTGGCAGGCAGGGAAAGAGGGAGATCCCCGGCCACATCCTGCCTTAAGTAGGGCAGGCCACACCCCCAGAGCTAGCCAATTGGCTGGCCAGGGGATGACGCAACAGGGAATCCCCCCAATTGCGTGGGGTTGGGCTCCAGCCGCCACGCGCGTGGTGGGGTCATGAAGCCCGCAACGCCACCTCCTTCAAGGACGGAAGTGGCTTTGCAGTATTCTTGTTATTATTTTTTTCATGTGTGTAATGGCTGTTCGCTAAACACAATAAACCAAACTGACGGATGGACAGACACCACGCTGCCCCTACTGCAAGGCCATCCGCTGCTATGCAAGATGATGGGGCCAGCCCTGCCATTAGGCAAGGAGAGGCAGCTGTCTCAAGCAGCAGATGCTCCAGGACAACAGAAGCAGCAGTTCCTCCTGAGCCTCCCAGCAGTTCTCATGTGTTGCCTCTTCTGGACCTCCTAATGTGCCAGCTGCCCCAGATGTGGTGGAGGATGCCATCCCATCTCCAGGGCTGAAGCAAGGCTCAACTGCAAGTCCAATGGGCTTCTATACATTGAGATGGGGCACCATCTTGTCCTTCATCTCAGGCAACACAACAAGAACATATTCACAGTCCTGATGAAAGCCCAATTTGTCCTTCTAGAAGCCCAGTTTGTCCAGCATCCTGTTCTTGCAGTGCCCAACCAGATGCCTAGGAGAAGGACTTGAATGCTGAGCATGTGTTTGTTACAAGATCAGAGTCTCCCTAAGGCTAAAAGTGGAACATTTTCCATTCACCATCCCCCAAATAAAAATAGAAGCCTGGAGCAGCAAAATGGGCAAGAAACAGAAGTATGGTGTGTGTGTGTGTGTGTGTGTGTGTGTTACTGCTTTGCCCCCCAATAAATGATAGCATTTATTCATAACCTGCTTGTTTGCTTCCACCTCTTCCATGCATGTCATCTCAAGGTCAGTAGCTCTTTGCTCCTCCATAACAGTAACCCCTGAAATTAACACGAATGGGCTTTGGGTTCCTTTTAAATATCACAAAGGGAGGCACAGATCTCCTGAGCTATACAGGTAGCATCTGTCACAAAGGCAGGGAGCGGGTAGAAGTTAAAGCCAACAAGAAAACCCAGACCAAAGGAATTGAAAGAGTTGCCTAAAGCATGCAAACCATACAGTTGTAGAAGGAGACATCCCCTTGTCAGATGAGCCGGCTGATGTCACAAGGAAGCATAATCTTGGCTGGCGATTTGGGGTGGTGGAGTAGGTAGCACAGATCTTTCCATACTGTAAAGGATATGCATATTTTAAAAAGGTAGCTCACTGACCAACATCATAAAGATAATAGTTTCTTAGGGGTCAGATGTAAACACAGCAAAAGGAGGTCACACATCCAATCGGATTAATTTAGTAACATGCCCAGCAGTGAATTATGTTAATTTGGACAGTAATTTTTTCGTACTTGTCATGCAAGCCTGTTGTTTGATGGCAGGAGGGCTGAGCTGTCTCACATCTTTTTCCTTTGAGAAAGCAAGCGTCAGCTAAATCAAGGTTCCTAGTTAGTTAAGTACTTGGAAACCAGCTAACAAAACTTCTAAATGTGTTGACGAGGAAGAAAGCGGTTCTGCAGGTGGGATGGAGTGGAGTATGGAAACTGGTCCATCATGCATGTGCAAAATCAAAGCCAGTGTTAGCCGATCTTTGGACGCAATTACTGCGGTTTAAGGAGACAAACGAGGTCTCAAATTAAGGCAGAGAACATGCAGATATATGCAGAAATATGGTGGTTTTGCCAATTAACCTCCCTATCAGATACATTTGAGTATCTCAAGGGCAGGGGAAGCAAATGGTAAACAAAGTCTGCAGCCTTTTAAGCCTCTTTAACTGTTGGCAGTGAAATCTGCTACTGAAGCACAGATTACGGCAACCTTATGAGTTGGCAAAATACAAATAGAAATGGGAACCTCTTAATAATACAGCATTTTGCAAATATCGGGCAGGAACCTCTTTATAAGAAAATAGAGAGTATAAGAATATTAGAGAGCATAAGAGTATCTCTCTCTAAAGTATCATGCCCATGATGGCGCTATAAAAATAATAAATTATTGGGGCTGAGCCTATGTTCACTCCACTCACCAATACCCCATCACAGCCTTCTTCTTCTTCGGTGATCACTCGTAGCTGAGTAAGATTGTCTTTCACGAACACGAACTTAACGGTGTGTTCATAAGTGCAGAGA